TATAAAAATAATACACATATATATATATATATAAAATACATATATATATAAAATACAATAAAAATGCCCTAAAACAGTCAATTAAATGAATTTAAATGTTTACTTTAGAGGTAAAACATGACCCAGACATTTTTTTAAAGTGATTTTCCTTCGTTTTCCGTGATTAATATCCTCATATTGCACCACAAATGTTGACAGCGAACTCTGCGAGTGCAACCTCATTTGAAGAAAGACATGGAACCACACATGAGCTTCACAGACAAGTAGTGTATTGAAAATACCAATAAGAAAAAAAAAGATATATTTACAGACATGGGACTATAGAGCACAAGGAAACTCGTGCTTGTAAGAGCAGCCTGCCTCAAACTACTGTTACAAACACGTGGGTATAATATTTCTAAAAAGACTTGCAAAACAACGTGGCAAACCATGGCAAAAAAATTACAATGAACACGAATGATATCGTAACTGTCAGTGGCAAATCACCTAGAATGGATGGTAAAATGTATTGTTATTGACCGTTCGTGACCAAGGCAAGAATGGATGGCAGTGAATATGCAACCTCACCCTTTTAGATTTCGAAATGTACTCCAATCTTTAAATACAGTGCTGATGGGTGCATTAAACCAGTGATTGTAGCCACTTTGTTGACAGAGACACAAAAACATCTCGGTAGTGATGACATCAGAACACAGGAAGAGGTATATGCAGACATCCGACGAAACAAACTCAAACAAAGAGACATACAAATACCTAAAATCATGTAAACAGAAGTGTCATTGTGCATTTGAATGTGTGCTTATTCTGTCATTGATGTTGTTGAGATACAAATGTGCCCTTTACAGGAAAATCCATAAAATTATGAGTACATCATCATCATCATCATAGCAATTATGAAAATTATAACAATAATATTATCAATAATATACAAATATATTGTAATGAGACCATTCCTGCCCCTAGCGTTAAAATGTACACAGCAATCAAAACAACCGCTAGTTTCAGTGTTTCATTGCCAACAAAAGACGAAAAAAAAAAAAAACAAGAAAACGGGGCTGAAATAAAGCCACCAGCCTCAACGCTGATGAGCAGCTAGTTATGAAGTGTCTTCCTGGCACAGTCCCACACACACACGCACATGTACAAACACACATACACACGGTGGTTCAATCGGGGGCCCTTAGTGTCCTGATCCAGTGACGAAGCCCCGCAGGCAGGTTGAGTCCATCAGAAGGCCCGATGCCTGCTTTCTTTCGGCTTTGTACTGGGCGTCCTTCACTCTGTGGCCACGCCGAGTGGCTGAAAGGCGCCACCGCGCTAGCCCAGAGTGTTTGAGGGAGTTGGGGGAGTTGAAGAGGCAAGAATGGATGGCAGTGAATATGCAACCTCACCCTTTTAGATTTCGAAATGTACTCCAATCTTTAAATACAGTGCTGATGGGTGCATTAAACCAGTGATTGTAGCCACTTTGTTGACAGAGACACAAAAACATCTCGGTAGTGATGACATCAGAACACAGGAAGAGGTATATGCAGACATCCGACGAAACAAACTCAAACAAAGAGACATACAAATACCTAAAATCATGTAAACAGAAGTGTCATTGTGCATTTGAATGTGTGCTTATTCTGTCATTGATGTTGTTGAGATACAAATGTGCCCTTTACAGGAAAATCCATAAAATTATGAGTACATCATCATAGCAATTATGAAAATTATAACAATAATATTATCAATAATATACAAATATATTGTAATGAGACCATTCCTGCCCCTAGCGTTAAAATGTACACAGCAATCAAAACAACCGCAGGTTTCAGTGTTTCATTGCTGACAAAAGACGAGGGGAAAAAAAAACAAGAAAACGAGAAAATGGGCCTCAATGCTGATGAGCAGCTAGTTATGAAGTGTCTTCCTGGCACAGTCCCACACACACACGCACATGTACAAACACACATACACACGGTGGTTCAATCGGGGGCCCTTAGTGTCCTGATCCAGTGACGAAGCCCCGCAGGCAGGTTGAGTCCATCAGAAGGCCCGATGCCTGCTTTCTTTCGGCTTTGTACTGGGCGTCCTTCACTCTGTGGCCACGCCGAGTGGCTGAAAGGCGCCACCGCGCTAGCCCAGAGTGTTTGAGGGAGTTGGGAGAGTTGAAGATCGAGAAAAGAAAAAAAAAAAACACAACAACAACATGCCGAACGCAGCAGAGATGAGGAGAACAGGAAGTGGGATGGGGGACGGGTTAAAAAAATAAAAATAAAAACAAAATAAAAAAAGAAGAATCACACACTCATCGTCATGTTGGGTGAATACTGCAACGAGAAGAGAGGAAGGGGAAGGTGTAGGGACAAAATGAGATTGCGCAACAGATAATATTGTCCATTTACGTTAAATCATGAGCCGATATTTAGACTAACTACTGCATAAAGTAAATTTAGGCATAACTGTAATGTAAATGTGAGTACAGGAGAGATCTAGAGCGGACAGGTGTGATGCGGACTTACACTTTCACTTTGGAATGGGTTTAAGAAGTTGCCTGCCATCTCCCCGTCATCCCGCGGAGTTCCTGGGGGATTGTTCATACCTGCCATGTTGTTCGGAGAGTTCTAGAAACCCAGACGCATGATGATTAGAGGCATAAGCAAAAATACTCACAAAATGGAGTAAATGGCATCTAATAAAAAACTTGTGGAAGCATGATATTAAATTCTGGCCAATAATGATGAGCCGATAATTAGGGATGCACCGATACCACTTTTTCCAGAGCGAGTCTGATACCGATACTGTTATTTTTGGTACTTGCCGATACGGATACCTGTATTTTCATTGCATTTGTAATTTTTTAAAATATTGGGTACAGAAACTCACAAAATTGAGTAAATGGCATCTAACAAGAAACTCAGGGATGCACAATACTAAATTAAAAAAATAAATAAATAAAACCCTAAAAACTAAAATAATCATTAAAATGCCGTAAGTGATTGAGGCATCACAACATTAAGATGTACAGTAAGAGATCTGGATATTCGTATTGAGATCTGTTAAAGATTTCATTTTCATTAAATGAACAGTTTTCATTAAATGAATTAACTTTAAGTGAGTGTTAAAGGACGGCAAAGGTAATCTAAAAGTAAAATAGCAAAAATCAGAATGAACCGTTAAATATTTAATATCAGTTAATACTGATGTATTTAAAAAATTCTCATATCAGCCAATAACCGATATTAAACCGATATTTTGTGCATCTCTCAAGAAATTAAAAAGAATTAGTGAAATGCAAATCAGTGTTGTTATTGTTAACTGAAACTACTGACATAAAAGAAAATGTAATTATTAAATTAAAAACTTAGACAAATTTAGAACTTAACAAAATTAGAAATGTTGCCTTGGCAACTAGCTGAAAAATATATTTCAACGCAAGCACTAAAATTACTAAAACGGAAAAATAAAGCTACGTAGAAACATATAAAAATGACATGAGGGTGAGTAATTAATGACAGAATTGTAATTTTTGGGTGAATTATCCCTTTAGAAATATTCACATGTTCTTGGTTAAATAAACATTACTTACCCTACCAGAAAAAATATATATATATTTTATATTTTTATATTAACAATGTAATTAATATTCTATTTATTAAAGCCAAGTATGAATCTCATCAAGTTAGTGTTTCTAAGCATTTTACATTTATTCCAAAATAATAACTCAAGGCAGTAACAATTTAAACTATATATTTTATTTGTGAACTTATGTTCAGCTATTCTTTTTAATAGTTAACTTTTAACTATTTTTGAATTATTCGGTTCATCAGTCATCAAAGCTCAGTAAATATTGGTCACAGACACAGAGATTTACTTAAAATTTGACCAAGCTGATTACTCACTAAAAACTCCCACAGATCATGTTTTCAGGCCATTTTAAGTCTTATTTTGACATAACAACTTGATTATATCCAAGTGTGTGAATTGTTTACTTACTTTTTTAAATGAGTCTTCACATTAATGCCATTATATTGTTTATTCAAACTGATTCGCGAATGCAGAACGCGCACAAACACGGGAGGCGGGATTTATCACATCAACCAATCCCAGCCGAACATAACCAGTCAGATCCAATCATATCGCGATGGAGGCATTGTCTCCTCTCACGTGATTTTCCCCCATTCATTCTCAATTACCCCCCACCAAACTCACCACACGCTTTAAGGCGTCTGTTAAAACTCAATGGGCTCAGGGGAGGCGAGAGAGACGTGGACTCCCGCTGTTACTCTACCTGCTGGTGTTGCTGTTGGACAATTTCTTTAGAAAAACGAGTGATTTATACACTTTTAATGTTATATTTTGTAATATAGGCATTGTTTTATTTTTTCACTACAAATTTTTTTTTCATCCAATATTTTGAGGAGACACTGCCTCCCTTGATATATATATCTATACTCTATACTCTCGCGGTACTTTGATGTCATACACCGATCGATCTGTGTAGCGCCGCTTCAAATCCAACGCGCCTATGGCCAGTGGTTCAACGCGCCAAATGGTTCACCCAATTCGTTCAAATCGTGCATTAAGAAATGAAATGCTGCTGTGTGTTGCTCGGAGATGAACAGTTCTGCTTTGTCTGTATATTTTTGTTGGACAAGACAACATTGTGTCTAAAATAACACAATATTAACTTCTTATTCATTGCACTGTTGTATAAGATCAGTATCACATTTGCACTCGTGTGATATTGCACTTAGCCTATTGCTAGTGTGATATTGCTTTACTACATGATGTAAATATGAGACAAAAACTCAAACAGGCATTTTTGCCCCATATCTTGAATTTTAGGGACATTCAAACTACGTTCTCTAGGCTCCATCACACAGTGAGTTGTTGCCCTGCCTCATATTTGTCATCAGTCAACTGTATGAAATGTCAGATGACCCACATAGGCAAGTGCGTTAAATGCGTTAATAATTTTAACGTATTATTTTTCACCGTATTTAATCTAATTAACACGTTAAATGACCAGCCCTAATATATATATATAAATGACCTAAAAACATAAAATTGCTAAAACTAAGATTTAAATTAAAATAGACCTATACAAATAAAAGTTAATTCAAAATAATACAACATAAAATATAAAAAACACTGATTCACATATATCAAGGCATTAAGTTCTCACCTTTGGCAACCCATCCATATCACCCGAGCCTGTAATCAAAAGCAATTATGAGAACCATTTGAAATGTCAAAACATTTCTTATTTTGTATGTGTTAGCTAATTTGTATGATGAAGTCTCACCTAAAGACCCGTTCATATGGTGCGGCTCCATCGATCCCATTCCACCCATCGGACCGTCGGGCCCCGGCCCCATTGGGAACTGCTGAAACACATACTGTTAACATCCATCCAGAAAATCATCAATAATACTAACAAAGGACTAAACCATGTTCCATACTGCATGAGAACGGTCAACTTACGTTCGGTCTGTTGCCACCAGGGCCGATTGGATTCATCATCGTGTAAATGTTTTCACTGGAATTCGTCGAGTCTACGAGGAAACGGATAACATTTCTTAGAGCTGCACTGGAAAATTCTCCGCAATCTGATGTATTCAAATAACATTTCCCAAAACAAGAGCTTTTTAAGCTCATTTCCAGTCACTGAGGTCATTCCTCAACTGTTTTTATGAACTTTCAATAAAAGAAGGCTGATACAAAATTCAGATAGATTAGATGAACGCAAACTGACCTCCTGGGCTTGGCATGATGGGAGTTCCTGGAGGTCCGCCACCTCCTGGAGGCCCCTGCAAGATGAGCACGGAAAATGATTACTCACAAAGAACATTTCGGACAAACAGAGAGAGAGGGTGAGACAAAATTGTGTGTGTGCAACTCACCACATAGTTTCCTGGTGATGAAGATGAGTATGCTATCTGTGGGAAGATGAGATATTAAGAAGCGTTAAGAGTTTCTTAAGAAGAGTTATAGCGATATTGAAATGATTGGAAGTGGCACTCACTGAGTTTGCGTTAGGGTTAGGCCAAGGCCCCCGACCTCCCGGAACCCTTGAAAACACAAGATGCAATGTTAGTGTGTGTATAGAAGCGTGGCATAGACAGCTTGAGTGTGTTATACCATGGTGGAGACTCACATGTTCATGCCAGGCATTCCAGGACCGCCGAGAGAGTTTGGAGGAGGCCTCATTCCACCGCCGTAGTTCTGCAAATGCAGAGATGGCAAAAGTTAACATACATATGAAACATGTTATGGTGCTGTAACAAGAAGGTACTTATAACTTGCTTTTATTTACCCTGGTAAATGTTAATTCAACACCTCATCTACAATAAATTGTTTTATAATACTATTATAATAAGTATAGGCAGGGTTGCCACATTTTTTGATTAATGAAATAAACATATATATATATATATATATATATATATATATACACT